TCATATACAGGGAATAACAAGTAAACTAGTTTTGCTGGAACAAAGAGCGCATGAGAGGGATTGGTGGGAAATCAATTTATAAAGACATATTGGTGATAGATTTTAAAAGACTTTAAATGTTAAATGGAGGAATTTGTATTTTATCCCAAAGGCAATAGGGAGACTTTAAAGATTCTTTTGTATAGGATTGGCATGAGGAGAACTGTGCTTTGGGAAGATCAATTTAGCAGCTGTGTGGAGGGATGGATTGCTGAGAGGAAAGAACAGGGGAAGGAGACCAATTAGGTAGCAATAGTCCATGCATGTCAAAAGTGATGAGGGGTAGAGCTAGAGTGCTGTCTGCATTAGTGGAGAGAAGGAGAGGAGACAGAAGCAAGAGATGTTATGTAGGTGGACTCAAGAAGACCAATAATACTTGACAACTGATTGCATTTTGTGGGGTAAGGGAAAGTGAAGATTCAAGGAACACTCCACAGTTTCAAACATGTGTAAGTATAAGACTAATAGTATCTTTAAAAGAAACAGAAAAACTAGGAGGCAAGGTCATTTTACAGAAAATATAAGAAATTCTGTTTTCTATGTGTTGAGATGCCTATTGGACAATAGATCAGGAACTGGTGATGTAAAACTAGAATTTAGAGGAGAGAGGAGGGCTGGACATGTAAATATATGAGTCATCCTATGCATAAGGAGTATAAGTAGGCTATAGCATATTATGAATAATAACTTGTATTTGAGAAGGGTCATAGAAACATTATTAATATTATCTGTGTCTGAAAAAGAATGTAGTACAATCATAGATGGCACCAAGATATAGGAAAAAACAGATAGCTGGCTGAGCTCTGCACCATTATCCATAAGTTATTAAAGAAAGAATTGGATTGTTTCTGAGTATTGGATGGATCCTTTGTGGCAGATTTACAGGAAAATGTGGATAAGAATTTTAATAGATGAGGTCTGAAAGTGATGCCTTCTCCATTAGTGAAGGGAGTACCCATACTAGTGAGATGACAAAATTAACTAAAAGGAAACCAGTAACACAGAGAGAGGTCTAGGACTCAGGAAGATGCTTTAACTTCTCTGAACCTCAGTTTTCTAATTTATAAAATAAAGGGTTAGACTAAATGACCTCTAAGTCCATGATTACCAAACACACGATTACCAACTACACCTGCACAATTATTCAAGTAGTGCCCAGACAATTTGACACAGATTATGGGCTGATGAAAGAGAATTCCCTGGAAACAAGGAGAGGGAGCTGAACTGATGTTCCCTGTCCTTTTTGGAATGCAGTGAAGTTCACTGGATAAAGGTTTCCAGATCATGGTATAGAATGAATTTAGGTAGAAAACAAAATCTATCATTCCATGAGAATGATGAAAATGAGCAATCAAGTGGATATTTGTCTCAAACACACAAAAATGTAGAAGGATTTGTAGGAAGGGAGAGATGTGAAAAATGTGAGGCATGAAAATATTGATGAAATGGAAATGAAATATGCAAGAAATCAAAATTGGAATCATTACGTGCACTCGGTTCTCAGTCCAACAGAAGAGATTCCTGTCTATGGTGGATAAAGACCTATTTTCACCTTATAGTACTAGTGTGCTACAAAGAATTATAATTATTTTTGAAAAAAATAATATAATATGATAGAATGGCACTACAGACCTAAACATGGCAATATACAGATATTGACTATGGGGAACTAAACAGAAATACTAATTTGATTGAAACTCTACCATTGAATCATAAAGAATAGTGAGGTGTCACAAAGGTAGTTGGATGAGTACTGCATTTGGGGTCAGAAGACCCAGGTTCAAATTATAGTTCTTTAACAAAAATTTACTTAGTATCTGCTACATGAAAGGCACCAAATTGGTACTGGGACTGTTATTTCATTGGTACAGGGAACTTTCAATGAGTAAACTCCCTCTACCAACTCTGGTCAGTATGTTTGCTGAAGCTTACAGATTTAATCAGTTGCATAGTGAATCATACAATTTACAGATTAAGTGATCTGCCCAAAGTCTGACAGATAGTATGTGCCTGAGATATAGTACATTCCATGTACTATAATATGTTGCTTCTCACATATAACATGCTATATTTTAGGCTCCTAGCATCAGCTGTAAAATGAGAACACTGGTTAAGCAAAATCTAAGTTCCTGTTCGTTTGCACTCATGATCCTCTGTAGGAATGGTTACTTTTTATATTAGGAGGTGCCATTAGGAAACAAAATACCTCCTATGAATTTTTAAAGAAGCTTTTTAAAAATTCAGACCCCTTAAACAAGTACTTATAAATTTAGCCCTGCCTTGTTTATCTTCTATCCCTTTTTCTATTCTTCTCCTTCCTTTCATAGACAAACTTCTTGAAATTGTTAGTAGCCTACACTAGCTGCCTTCATTCCTGTCCCCTCATTCTTTGACCCCTTGTAATAAAATTCACACATCAATGTGACTGAAACTGTTGTTTTGGAGGTTGCCAATATCCTATCGATCATCAGATCCTCTTTTTAATCTTTATCTTCATAGGATCTTAGAATTTAGAACTAAAATGATCCTTAGAAGTTTTCTAGTCTAAGCCCTTCACTTAATGGATGAAAAAATTGAGTGCCAAAGAAGTGAAGTGTTTTGCACAATTTCACATAGCTAGTAATAAATAGCCTTAGCCTAACCTAGCCTAATCACAGCATTAGATACTGCTGTCACCTCCTTTCTTCATAAAACTCTCTTAAGGCAATGCACTTTGTTCCTTGTACATATGGTTCTACATTGGAGAAGGAAATGGCAAACCACTCCAATATCTTTACCAAGAAAACCTCATGGACAGTATTGGTGTGCTATGGTCCATGGGGTCACGACAAGTTGGACATAACTGAACAACAACATGCTTCTACATAAATTCATCTTCCACCCTCTTCTGTCTCTATACTATATTCTTTTGAGATATCGTCTACACTCCTGGCTTCAACTATGAATTTTTTTTTGTTGCTGAATAAGCTATCTTTATGTTCAGCCCCAACCTTTCTCTTGAGTTTTAATATTATCTTAAACCATATACAGGATATTTCCACCTGGATTTCCTTCCAGCACCTCAAATTCAACCTATCTAAAACAGAATTTGCTATCTTTCCCTCAAAACTGATTCCTCCTCCTGCTTATATTATTTCTCTTAAGATACTGTTATTTCCTTGAATCACTGAAGTTCAAAGCTTCAACCATACATGTTTATCAAAGTTAGCTTATGATTTTATACAGTATTTAGGTATCAACAAGAATCTTAGTGAAGTAAAGATTATTTGAAATCATCCAGAAGTAGCAGGAATTAGATAAAAGATGGTGTCCTGAAGATTGAGCATGGAGGCTTATGTTTCACATTAGCCCATTTGCACATCAGCCTAGGAGACTTTTGTTGAAGATACAGCAAAAGTATATGATTCTACCTAATCTGCCATATCCAACCAGTTGCTATAGATTTTTCCTCCATAATGTCTTTTTTCTGTCCCTTCCTCTCCATTCCCACTAGTTTAAGCCCCTTATCATCTCATACTTAAATTATTACATTAGGCCTTAAATGTCTTCCATGACTTCAAAGTCTCTCTTCTATTCATTTAGCACACTGATATCCTATTAATCTTCTTAAAGGACCACTTTTGTAGTGTCCTTTCCCTGTTCAGAAAACTTTAATGGTTCCATCTTGTCTACTAAATAAAGCTCAAATTACTTTATCCAGAATTTAAGACCTTCAACAATTTGACTCTAATCTTTCCTAATTTATTTGCCAGTTATTTCCAGTGGTCCAGATAATCCACATTCTTCATATTTCCTGAAAATGTGTTGAACTTTCCCACATCTGTGGCTTTTCCCTTTTCCCTCAGTATGCAATACAAAATCTCAGCCTCCTTCATTACTCTTGCCATCTCCATTTCTGAATATCTGATTTGTCCTTCAAGACCCAGATCAAATGCCAGCTCAAGAATTCACTACTCTTCCACACTTGAACAATATTTGTGCCACTCACTTGACACTTAATACATATTGTCTGTATTACAATTATATCTGTTCATGTGTTATCCCCCCCTCTTAGTCTGTAATATCTTTGGGGATATAGTAAAATACTATGTATCTTTCTTCCATCACATCACCCAGTATAGAACTTATACAAAGTAGGTATTCAATAATACAAGAACTATAATTATTGATTTAGGATGTATGAACTATAGTAGCCAAATATTTTACTTTCCTAGTTACAAGAGATTTAAAGAATTATAGATGATTACAGGATGTGCATGCATTACAATCTGAACCTGTGGGATGCTGTAGAA